GCTCTGTGATGCCACGTCAAGAAGATTTCGGAGAGTTATTCAGATTTTAGATTCAATTCAGAATGGTACCCATCATCAGATATCCAGACATAAGAGATGAATCCCAACTTTGAAATTTGTCTCAGGAGCTTCATGGGAAAGAAAATTCTTCAATGGGATCTGGGTCTTATGAGTGAGGAAGTCTCTCATGAGTGGTTGCCAGTGAGATGGTGCAACCTGACACTGATTCCAGCCAGAGTTGATCTCTCCTCACATATTGGGTTCTCAAGAACATTCTGTTGAGTACGAGAAATGGAAGAAGGTTCCAGACTTAAAGGCTCAAGAGTTACATTGAGGGAACCTGCATCTATATACAACTCCAGCTCATAATGTGCTTAAAGATGATGCATAATTATCTATCAAAACGTGATATGGATGACAACACCTACAATATCAAACTATCAAGGGATTATCATATATCTGCTATATTCAACGTGATAGACTTGACTCCGGGCTACGAGGAACCAAAAGCTTCGACGAATAATTCGAAGCACCCCCAAACCTAGGAGACTAATGCGGGGCTCATCTGGGACTGAACCGGATGTTGAATCGATTCAGCAGGGGAGCCACAAGGGGTCAGCCAGCCCTTTGTTCTGGCTAGGGTTGCCGCCCAAGTCGAGGAGTCTTCCCCCTCCTATTTACCTACTAATATATAACATTAGGGTTAAGCTTTATTGTGATTTTTGTTTGAACAGCCTCTGGAGCACCCCTTTTTCTCTTCTAGGGTTGTATCCGAGAACAAGTAGTGCTCTCGCTATATCTTGCTCCGAGATGGTGATTATCCTCAACTTTCCCCTCCTACCCTTCCATGTCGTCGTTACCGTACTCGACTGCGGACCACCGAAAACTGCAGCCAAACAGTTTTCGTGCAACCCCATCTACTCATCTCCACTTTAATCCTGCTCTTCCTCCTTGTTGTTGTCGTCCAAACCACCTTCCTGCAATTGCCGCCCTTTTCTTCCCACACCCATTTGTTGTACCGTAACCCCCTACGGCTTCACCTATCACTCATGTAACCCCTCCCCACTATGATACTCTCCCTGCACCCATTCTAGTTCTTCCAGTTAGCACCCTCATCTTTATTGCTCTGCAAAATCCCTTACCTTTTCCCCCGCCACACCCACAACAGACCTCCCAATCCTCCACCCCACTATCTCTAGCCTCCTCCCAACCCTTCCAGCTATCGTCCCAACCCTCTAAGTCCCCCCGTCAGTTGTTTCTAGCCTTAATTATGTTCGCCTGTTGCTGCTGCCAGGCCAGGACAGTCAGCAGGCTGCTGTCAAATCTACTTCCAGCCAACCTACCCTAACAAACGTCTCCAAAACAATCCCCCACCTGTTTTCCAGCCGCCATACAACACCCTCGTCCTTGCCCTAAGGTGCATTTTATGTTTTGTATTGTTATTTTCCAATTTTCAAGTGTCTTTATTTGTAACCCTATTGAATTTCAGCAATAATATTGGCATTCCTATTGTTGTTTGAGTTAACTCCAATAACAGTCATTATAAAGCTAACATCAATCATATTGATTATAAAACACCAACTAAAAACTTGCTTATATAGATAAATTATGTATGTTTGTTTGCGCTGAATGTATGGGTCGGTAGATTCCTTCTAAATATAAGCTAATCAATCGAATGATTCCAAAAAGTGACGACTCTTTTAGAAATAGTTAAATTTCAATCGGTTGTTACTTAATATATATAGACACACACATGTATTTGGAAATGTACTACTTACAGTTTTCACACAAACGATCATGGGAATTACCAATGTAAGTGACCTTAAAACAAGTGGCATCCCTTTATTTATGTTATCAAATATTTTTATAACAAGATGATTTGAATCATTTGAAGACACTTATCATACTAATATTATATTATAATCATACATATTTTATTATTTATATTGCATGCCACAATATCTAACCATTTAAACTTTAATGAATATGAGTTATTTATTAAGTTTGAAATGTCAAACTCATTTATTATAAAAAATTTTTATAATAAGTTCTACTAAGTTGCTTGTTGGACCATCAGGCTAAGAGTAGACATTTAAGTTGTTATTTATTTGGTACTTGAGAGTATTGTAGTTTTCATTAGGATTTTTTTGTAGTTTTTGTTTATGTACATTAGCATTAAGGTCATTCAAGTAAGGATTTAAGTACCCAACATCGTTTATTAGTTATAGATTTTAAGATAAAGAGATGATTAGTTATAGATTTTAAGATGAAGAGTTCTAAAATAAAGAATACTGAGACTCATCATCGTCGAATTAGAAAGGGAAACTTAAAAAACACAAATAAAATTATTTTTATGAGTAAAATTCAAGATTTCAAAATTTGGGATGTTCATGATGAAACAAATGCTATGTGGGATAAAGTAACACTATTAAATCTATTAAACAAGTAGCAAAGGATGTGCTTGGAGAATCAAAAAAATAAATTTTTATAAATAAAAATAATTGGTGATGGAATAATAATGTGCAAGAAAAGATAAAATATAAGAAGTTATGTTATAAAAATTGGTTTGAATGTAAAAACTTAGAAAACTGAAAAAAAAATATCAAATGGTCAACAGAGAGTCTAAAAGAACAATCTATGACGCTAAAAATTATGCTTTTAATGATCTTTATAATAGATTAAATACTAAGGAGGGTGAAAGTATATGTATAAACTAGCCAAACAAAGAGCAAAGAAAAGTAAAGATTTAACTCAAATAAGGTATATTAAAACTGAAAATCAAAAAGTACTTTTCTTATAAAATAGAAAAAGATATTCAACATAGGTGGGTGAGTTATTTTGATAAAATTTTTAATGAAGTTTATGAAAATACGATCGAGCTTAAGACCCTAAGATGTTCAATAATCACTCTACAATGATTAATATTCCGGCACACAACAAAAATAAAAGAAAAATAAAAAAAAAAGTGATGACAAATGAGGCTTAAGATTCATAATGTGATTTTCATTGCCCATAACTTCTCAATTTTTTAATTCTCTCTCGGACTCAACTCAGTTTTTTTCACTAAAATTCTACGAGCATTTTTTCCCATTTAAATTGGCTTTGTCGTTATAACATTTGGGAAATTTACATATCTAACACCTACAACTTGATATTTACACTTACAATATTTTGGTGTCATAAACTTAAACATGAAAATATGTATAATTATTGTAACATTTTTATGTGATGTTATTTTGAAAGTTCTAAATGTATATATGAAATTATAAGGGTAATATTTGTAAATCATAAGAATTGTGGAATATGTTTGTAAATGCCCCTATTACTCAATATAAAATATAGATTTCGATCTGAAGGAGGATTGACCAAATATTTTCCTTTTTTCTGTTGAATTACATCAGGGATCGGCTTTAAGCCCATATCTTTTCGCTTTAGTTATGGATGGTCTTATTGGAAATTTACAGGATGATGTACCTTGGTCATGCTTTTTGCTGATGATGTCATTCTCGTGGATAAGACGAGACAAAAAGCCCAAGAACAACTTGAATTATGGAGTTCTACATTGGAGTCTAAAGGCCTTTATTTGAGTAGAACTAAAACTGAATACATAGAATGTAATTTTAGTAGTAGTAGCTCTAATGACAGAAGTGTAACTTTGGGTGATCAAATTATTA